GATGTGAAGCTTGGAAGAATAAATCTGATCATGGGAAACAGAAGAACGTCGCCTGTCACCAAGATTGGAGTGTATTCTTTAGAGCTTAGGAATGGTTTGAATTTAGAATTAAATAATTATTGCTACTCGCCAGATATGGCAAGAAACATCATTTCTTTTCATGGTTTATTTAGATAAGGATTTAGATATTCGTTTAATAATGAGAATGGTTCGATTTATGCTTATCTAAATGGTGTTTTGTATTTTGAAGCAATGCCTTGTAATGGAATTTATGAAACTGTTATGGTTGTAGATAACCTAGGAAATGATGTGTTGTGTATGGATTCTTCCAATGGTATGGATAAAGCATCCTTGTGGCATTGTCGTCTTGGACATGTCAACAAGAAGCGCATAGCCCAACTCCAAAAGGATGGAGTGATTCGACCTTAGGGAAGATGACACGTGCGAATCTTGTTTACTTGGAAAGATGACCAAATCACCCTTCACTGGCACTTGTGCGAGGGGTGAGGGTTTATTGGATCTCATACATACAGATGTATGTGGACCCTTTAGATCCACCACAAGGGATGCAAATCGCTTCTATGTGACTTTCACAGATGATTATAGCAGATATGGGTATATCTACTTAATTAAGCACAAGTCAGAAACCTTTGAAAAGTTCATAGAGTTTAAACAAGAAGTGGAGAATCAATTGGGCAGGAAAATCAAGATGCTTCGATCTGATCGAGGTGGAGAGTACCTAAGTCTTGAATTCCACGACTACCTCAAGGAATGTGGAATAGTTTCACAATTGACGCCACCTAGGACACCACAATTGAATGGTGTAGCTGAGAGGCGTAATCGAACCTTGCTAGACATGGTTCGTTCCATGATGAGTCGTGCTTCACTACCTATCTCATTCTGGGGGTATGCCTTAGAGACTGCCGCCCATATCCTTAATTTAGTACCCACAAAGAAGGTTGCCAAAACACCTCACGAGATGTGGACAGGGAAAGCTCCCTCGTTGGCACATATCAAGGTTTGGGGCTGTGAAGTTTTCGTAAGACGAGAAACTCACGACAAGCTCGAACCTCGTAGTGAGCGATGTATATTCATCGGCTACCCACATAAATCCTTTGGATATCTCTTCTATAGGCCGAGTGACAATGTTGTCTTCGTTGCGAGGAGAGGGGTTTTCCGAGAGCGAGAACTCATAAGCCAAGGAGACAGTGGGAGGCAAGTCGATCTTGAAGAGATTCAAGAATCTAGCGATGAAGGAACCTCTAACACTGGCGCTCGACCCGAGGAGGAAACTCCAGTTGAACCAATTGACGAGTCCTTACCTCTTAGACGTTCCGAAAGAGTTAGAGTTCAACCCCAGTTTTATGGTTTTCATATTACTACCGAAGGGGACACGTATATTAGTGATGGTACACTAATAAATCTAGATGAACCTAATAGCTATAAGGAAGCCATGGCAGGCCCAGAGTCTGTAAAATGGAAAGAGGCGACAGACAGCGAGATTCAGTCCATGTATGACAACCAAGTTTGGAATTTGGTTGACAATGTACCAGGTCGTAAGACGGTCGGGTGCAAGTGGATCTTCAAGAAGAAGACCGACGTGGATGGGAACGTGCACACTTATAAGGCGCGATTGGTTGCGAAGGGTTTCACTCAGACTCCTGGAGTTGACTACGACGAAACCTTCTCACCAGTTGCGAAGATAAAGTCTATTAGGGTGATGCTAGCCATTGCTGCATTTCATGACTATGAAATATGGCAAATGGATGTAAAAACCGCTTTCCTTAATGGGAAGTTGGCTGAGGATATTTACATGGCTCAGCCAGAGGGTTTTGTCGATCCAAAGCATCCCAATAGAGTGTGTAAGCTTGAGAAGTCCATTTATGGGCTTAAGCAAGCGTCTCGCAGATGGAATCTTTGCTTCGATGAGAAAGTCAAAGAGTTTGGATTTGTACGAAGTGAAGATGAATTATGTGTATATGTCAAGGCCAGTGGGAGTATAGTTAGCTTTCTCGTTTTGTATGTCGATGACATACTGCTCATAGGAAACAACGTCCCGACTCTGCAGGAGGTTAAGTCCTGGCTCGGGAAGTGTTTCGCTATGAAGGACCTCAGAGAGGCTTCCTATATTTTAGGAATAAGGATAGTGAGAGAATGAAGTAAGAGACTAATAGGACTTAGTCAGAATACTTACTTGGATAAAGTACTAAAACGTTTTTGTATGGAAAACTCAAAGAATGGAGAACTACCGATACAGAGTAATACCAAATTGAGTAAGACTCAAAGCCCTAGTACAGAAGCCGAGATAGCTGAGATGAGCCGAGTACCATATGCTTCCGCAGTTGGCTCAATCATGTACGCTATGACTTGTACTCGCCCTGATGTGGCCTTTGCTTTGAGCATGGTCAGTAGATATCAGGGGAACCCAGGTAGAGCTCATTGGATTGCAGTCAAGAATATACTTAAGTACCTTCGGAGGACCAAGGAATGGTTTTTAGTCCTCGGAGGGAGTGATGACTTAAAGGTACAAGGGTATAGTGACGCCAGCTTTCGGACCGACAGGGACAACTACCGTTCGCAGTCGGGCTGGGTCTTTACCCTTAATGGGGGAGCGGTGACTTGGAAAAGTTCCAAGCAAGAAACAGTAGCTGATTCAACGTGCAAATCAGAGTACATTGCAGCGAGCGAAGCGTCAAAGGAGGCTATGTGGTTGAAGAACTTCATTGGTGATCTTGGAGTTGTGCCTACCATAAAGGAGCCTGTGGAAATTTTCTGTGATAATGAAGGAGCGGTTGCCTTGACCAAGGAACCGAGGGATCATGGTAGATCTCGACATATCGACAGAAAATATCATTTTATTAGACATCGAGTAGAAGAAGGACACCTCGTGGTAAAAAGGGTATCGTCAGAGGATAACCCAGCAGATCCGCTTACGAAGGGACTTAGCAGGGTTAAGCATTTACAGCACGCTAGGAGCATTGGGCTAAAGGACGATATTAGTTTAGATTAGATAGTTTGGAAATGTGTAATAGATAAATGTAATTGACATTTGATGATTAAATAAAGGAGTATTATTTATAAGTAAAGCTACTGTCTTATGTTAATTGTTTAACTATTGTTTCATTTTGCATGTTTTGACTTCCTGAGTAATTAATTATTTGATAATAATCGAATTATCCGAATAGTCCATAGTCGTTCATATGTTGGAAGTAGGTATGAATGAAGACTGTCATGAATTGGTGTGTAGATTGTCTAAAGTGTATTAGACATTGCAAAGGTTTGCTTCAACGTTCATGAGTGCTTATGAACTTGATTTGAGCATTGGAATAAACCCGCACTTGTTGGAATCACTTCATGGAATTTATCACGAGTGATCACAAGATGGTAATATCATATAGTCTTAAAACCTAGATATATGGTTTATTGTTTGTTAATTGGTTGTGCATTGATAATACGCAAACGCATCAGTAACTTGATGTTATAAAACGTATTGTTGTGTGTAATTTGATTAGTGGATAATAAATGCATATAAGTCGAAGTTTATCTGTTCCTTTTATCCTAAGAGGGTAAAAGCGATATCAGGGTCCCTCGATGATTTGATTTGACTTATGTGCCGGGCCCGGTCAGAACTAAATTGATGTGTTCGATTAAGTTCTATGTCAAATGAACCTGAGATCGAGAAACAAATTGCAGGACAATAAGTATGACCATGTTCCATGTAATTGTCCGCACGATATCTAGAACAGAGAATTATACGATCCCTTATCTAAAGGACAGGATATTGATAATATCAGAGTTGACAGCGTCTTTGAGAGCTACGATTGCTAATCGGATTGTGTTTGCATATATAGTTACTAGACTTATCCAAGTGGGAGACTGTTGGATTAGTGTCTAAGGCTGTAACTATATTTGGTAAGTACTTGACCCGGTTATGCATGGTCCTTTTGGGTTGCCTTCACCATAGCAACTTGACAGGATGATTTGTTAAGAGAGAAGAGATATTATTAATATATTATGAGAATAATATATATTTAAGGAATAATAATATTATTTGATTAATATAGGTCATATATTAATTGAGAATTAATTTGGTGACTTAAAGAGGTTAATTGAATAAAGGGCATAAACTGTCAAATGTGTGATAGTTGTATTTTGGGCTATGTATCCTTATGGATATTGGGGTGGACGAAATTTAGGGTTTGGGAACCTTAAATTCGTCCAAGCCTTGTATCTAGAAGGATCTTGGATTGCTTAGGGCCTAAGTCATTCAATTAGGGTTAAAGGAGAAACCCTAATAGCTCATAGTATAAATAGAACCCTTGGGGTGGAGAAATCGACACTCTTGCAAGCCAAGGAACCCTAGGGCCGATTTCTATCCCTCCTCCCTCTCTCTCAAGATCATCTTCTTGCTAGTTGGTGTTTGTAAGTCATTAGAGGAGTGACAATTGTGACTCTAAGCTCTAAGAAGAAGAAGTATCAAGCAAGTAATTCAAGGTATTCTTTCAGATCTGATTTCATATGATTAGATTCAATATATTAAATTAGATCTAGTATTGCAAGTCTTGGATTCAATGCATGTTCAATTAGAGAAACCTAGATCCAAGCAATTAGGGTTTGCATGTGCACATAGGAAAGTTCTTATGACTCAAATCCATCAGGTCCGAGTGTAAAAAAATAGTTAGAGACAAAACACATAATTTTGATAAACCAGAGGGACTATTTCGGTAATTTGTTCGAGATAAATTTACAAAACTATCCCCGGGATGTAGCATAATCATTTCACAAGAAATGCCATCGTAAGGTTCGTTAACCTATAACATGTTAGATCGTGACTAATTTATTTAAGAGATCTACACTCTCGTGGGTTTACTTGTATGTGTTTTTTCGCATTGATTAATTGTTTGTTGAAACGTGTACTAGGTACTTGGTTTACATTCCATTTGTAACACCAACATTCTCTCATGGGAACCTCCGCCACTATTGTCCTTCCCCTATAAATACCTTCTCTCACCACCCCCATTTTTCACGGCTACAATGAACGGCGACACCCTCAACCACCGTTCCTCAGTACTCCACACCAACACCACCAACCTCAAAGACCACACACTTGCTAAGTCTACCCTCGAAAAGGCATGCACTAAATCTAATGCCTCCTCATTATGGTTGCGGCAGAGTTGGGTTGATGAGCTACGGTGGCGGGTTGGTGAGGTGTCGTTCATGAAATGGACGGCGGACGATGTGTCGGCTGTGTTGAAGTGCCACCCAATACCGTGTTTACTGGCTGTATTTTTGTTGTTTTTCATGCGTGTGGAGTACACTCTTCCAATGATTCCTCCGTCTTCACCGCCGTTTGACATTGGCTTTGTGGCCACCGTCCACCTCCACCGCATTCTTTCCGGCAGCCCTGTACTCAACACCATTCTCGCCGGACTTAATACGGTAATTCTTGTTCAAATTATGGTTGATCGATTAGTTAGAATCAAGTGATGTTTTGATGAATTTTGTGCAATATTTGAAGGTGTTTGTGGGGATGCAAACGGTGTATATAATCGGAACGTGGGTGGTGGAGGGGCGGCCGAGAGCCACAATTGCGGCGCTGCTGATGTTCACTTTCAGGGGCATTTTGGGTTATTCCACACAGCTTCCTTTGCCTCAGGTGTCAACTTTCACTTTCCACGTTTCTTATTTTCTTTTTATATTTATGAAACATAGTATTATTCACGGTTAATTAATTAATTATATATAAAACAAAGTTGTATTTTTCTATTAAAATATACAATAAATTGAATAATTTACTAATTTATACAGTCATATTAAACTTTATTACTAAACTATTATCGATTGATGCATGTATAAATTAGTAAGATATCAAGTTTTTTGTAAAATAAAAAAAAACGTGCAACAAACTATAATGACTGCATGCATAATAGTAGGAACTTTTCTTCGTTATAAATCGGCAAAAGCATGTACTTTTTGTATAAGTAAGTCATTAAAACGTTTTAAACGAATAAATGTGAAATCTACATAAAATTACAAAACAATGGCTAGCTTTCTAAAACTCAATATTTACAAGATATTTGTTGCATTTGTAAATTAAGTGATTATAGTACTTTGCATTATTCTTTATTTTAACCCTTTCCCTTATGCAATATATTACTTCTAAATATTTTTAAAATCTAATATTGTTTATTAATTAAAGCATACATCCACATACAACAAACAGATTTCCTTTAGTCCTAAACATTTATAAAAAAGTTGATCATCAAATAGACAAATAGGAGATAAAGTTTTTATTTTATTTTTATTTTTATTTTTTAAACTTAACGAGGGATTACTGATTAGAAAGTAATCTAATCAGAATAAATATGTTTCATAAAAATAGAGGACAATGTCAATATCAATTATCAATTACTAGTATCAAAAGTATACATTTACAACATTTATGATGGGTAAATGAGTAATTTTGAACTTAATTAAAACCATTCGTGACTTTTTGTTTGTTTTATCTATTTGTTATTGAGCAATATGATATTTCAGAAAGATTCCACTAACTTTTGGAGAAAGAAATGGGTCATCATCCACTGATTAAGATAATTATGGTAATCTACTGCTATGATACGTTTATTAGAAGAAATAGAAATAAATCATTACGAGATTTTCCTAACAAATAATAAATAGGTTACCCTGTGAAATCCATTAAATGGACAAAATTCAAAATTAATTGCTAATTTTCGTACAAAGTTAATACATTATCTTAATCACGTTGTCAATCATACTTAACGATAAAAAGTATTAGTTCAAAAGAAAGATATGTCCATTGGTCATTTGGTCCACAGTATCATCCTTATAACATGAATAATGAATATCAACCAGATAATGAAAGCATCGATCAACTTTGCCTGAAAATAGACTAAGAACATCTACGATACATGATTGAATGATTGAAATGTCACGTAGTTGGATACAAAAGATTAAACTCAACCATAATTGTATTCTAAGTTGACATACAATGAATTTATAGTTCGATTCACATGTACTTGTGAATTGGGAACTGATTAACAAACACATGATAGATATTTTCAAAAATAAAAACTATGTATCATTGAACTTCGTAGAGTTAACTAAATTAAATGACAAAGTTGTGTAAGAAAATAGAATGTTGATTAAACAATCTATATATTTTATAGTTGAATGCATTTTATTTCCTTTCCCTTTTCACTTCTCTTTCCATGTTTCATCATAAGGTAATGAGTTCAAAACTTACACCATCATGTTACCATTTATTTCCTTTAGCAATTTGTTTGCATGGTTCATAAAATAACAGCCCAAAATACAAGACTAACACGCCCAATTGCAATTTTTATGACAATTTTGGTATTTTTTTTAAATCATTAAAAAATGGTAACATGATGGTAGTATTTATACATATAAAGGTCATTAAATGTAATGACCTTTATATATATAAATACATATAAAAATATAAAAATACATTAAACTATTATTTTATATATTTTTATATTTTTATGTTTTGGGGCTGCGATTTTGGTATAAATACATATAGATAGATAAAAAAAGCTGTTTTTATTTTTATTTTTATGTAACTATACAAAAATCACAACCCACAAAAACATAAAAATACAAAACTAGTTCTATTATATTTAACGTATTTATATATGTATAAATATATTAAAAACTGGTTTATTATGTATTTATAAAAAATAAGTCCAAAAATCTCAAAATAGATTAAAAAACAGTGGTAACATGGTGTATGTTTTGAACTCATCACCTTCCGATGAAACATGGTGTATAAACTAGATTTATCTTTTTCTTTTACAAAAATCACAAACTGACTTAGGCTATGTTTGGCGTACTAGCTGAAAATCTAGCTGTTAGCTGAAAATCTAGTTATTAAATAAAAAACTAGCTGATAGTTGAAAAGCTAGCTGATAAAAAATAACGTTTGGTAAAACTAACTGAAATATATAAAATTACATAAAAGGACATGTAGGAGTATGTGTTTCTATAATTAATTAAAGGGCGTATTTGAATTTTTTTTTAAAAAAGCTCATAAAAAGCTAGTCTAAATAGTTTTTCAAAAAGCTAGCTTATAAACTAGCTTATAAGCTACTTTTTGGCTTACCAAACACGACAACATAAAAAAGCTCGAAAAACAAGCTAGCTGTGGCGCGCCAAACACAACTTTAATGATAAGCGGTTGTTCAATGCTCATTCGATGAGCGCTTCCTTCTCAATGTTGATTTTTAAAAATCATTTTGTAAATTAAAACTTAAAATTTAATTGAAAATATGTCTATTTTATGTGAAATTTCCTTTTGAATTTATAATAAAATTAGTTTATTATTAAACCCACTCTTTTTTCCAATCTTTTCAACATAAGTGTTGGGTGTTTTAATAAAAAAATGGGGTTTGATTTTTTTTGACCGACAAATGTAAACTACTCCTAACATAACACACCTAGTAACATCTATGTATACTAGGAGACTTGAACCCTCAACTTCAAAGATGGAAGACTACACGTGATACCACAGAGCTAATACCACAGAGCTAGAAACCCTTTAGTGTTTGATTTTTTTTTATCTAAAAACAAATTTCTACAGGGACTTTTACCTCTAAAACTTTTTTTTTCATATAATATAAATATAGAGAAATCAAATATAGTTCTATCTAATCATTTTGGTTTTACTTATCTTCTTATTCAATAGATAAAAACAGGTATCAAAATAAAATAAAAAGATCAAAATAAAATAAAAAGATTAAAAGAGAAAATTATTGAAAACCTTTTTTTTTTTTCTATAAAGTTAGTGTGGCCAAATAACTTTTTAACTTCTTGGTTTTTTAAAAAACCAATAAGCTAATAAGTTATTTTAATAAGGACTCACAAACACCCGTTTAATATAAGATAGTAGGATGTATAGCAATAAAAAATAGGATGATATTTTATTTGTCAAGATTAATATCTTGTATTAAATAAAATTTAGATAGAGTATCTCCTGACAAAACACTTTTCTTAAAAGAATAAATCAAAGGGTCAAGCGTGTGTGGTTTCACGAAATTGGATTTTCTAAAAATTGAAATATATAATATATAAATACTAATAGAAGCAATACATTTTGAGTTTATGCAAATTACAAGTGAAATAACATAATTTTAATCAAATTTTATCATAGATAATAAACAATGTATAATGTATGCAAATTACAGGTAAAAGTAACATAACCAAATATTTATACTTTATATTCAAACAGGAAATCCAGTTATATAAAACAAAATATCACTCATTTGTAACTGGTTCCATAATTTGATAATTATGAGTGTTAAAATATTGATCTTTAAAAAAAAAATTAACTGAAAACACGATTTGATCAAGAATTTATTTCTACAGGGATTTTTAGGTTCTGGCGTCGACTTTCCGGTTGGAAACGTATCGTTCTTTCTATTCTATTCCGGTCACGTAGCTGCATCAGTCATAGCATCTCTCGACATGAGGAGGATGCAAAGGTCGGAATTGGCGATTCTGTTCGACATCTTCAACGTATTACAATTCGTGAGGTTGTTGAGCACCAGAGGCCATTACACCATCGATTTGGTAGTCGGAATCGGTGCGGGCATGTTATTTGATTCCATAGCCGGAAAATACATCCACAAAAGCCACAAAACACCCACAATTGACCCCAATTCCAATGGTGATCGTAAGGCCTTCCTTGTGTCTCCAAAGCTCGGAAATGGGACACAATGAGGACTCTTTCTTTTTTTATTTACTTAATCAAGTGTTGTCTATGTAAACAATGTTTAAATCTGTTTTAAGATAATGACATCACTTTTGGAGAATGGCTTGAAAAAATAAACGATGAAAAAATTTATAAAATAGTTAGGACTAAGGGAAAAAGCTTAGTTTCCCTAACTTTCTATATTATTGCGTATATTGTATTCGAATGTATTAACAAGAACAGGCACGACCATGAACGATAAGTGCCTATTAACTACAGTTGAATGGACTAGTTTTTTTTTATAATGTTGACAATATTACAATTGTAGATGTTAATCTTCGGATTCAGAATCTGAGTAAGGAGGGCATGACCCATCGTCTACATTGGCAAGAGGGTTGTATTCGGGAGAGCCTGGATCAGTGCAACCGGTTACAAGATCAAGTTCGCAGCGATCCGCCTGCACCACATATGATATTGTCAGGACAGGACAGGACAGGACATGACATGACATGACAGAACCTAACAGGTTGTACTGTGTTTGACACGTAATGGATTAGGACTGAGACGGTATTAGACTTGGACTGACTTAGGTTGTACTGTGTTTGACTCATGACATGACATAACATAGGTTGTACTGCATGCATCTCACATGTATTAGACTTGGACTGACTTAGGTTGTACTGTTTTTGACATGCATTGGACTGTGAGACTGACTGATTTTATATCTACAATGGAATTTGTAGCTTGTTACGTACCCCTTCGCTAGTCAAGTTACCCATCAATTGGCATCTATCAATGATAATGCTTGTGTCAGGATATATTGCCTTTTCACAAGCACCCTCTCGGCTCAATTCCTCCGTGAGACCCTGAATCACCGATTCCTATTCCGTTAGTTTAGAGTAATCACAAAATGATTCACGTCAATTCCAATTTGAACAAACTCATTTTTACCCGATTAAAGAAGTCCAATTCTTGATTTCTCCATGCTTTTGGCACTTGAAATTGCAATCTATAAGGACCATCCCATTCACTTCCATTTGTGAACGAGAATATCAAGTTCATAGCTGCAGTATCATTTACTCTCGTTCAGACAGTTTATTCAGCTAAAAAGAATCACAATATTTGTTCATACAAAACACATAAATCATTTTGTTACCATGCTTAGGAACACATATTTGGATGGTGTAATATGGAGGATCGGCCTTGCCTCGATCTCTGCGTAGCATAGCTCTTGGCTCACCACCACACATGATTGGTTGATTAAATCCACCTGCAGAAGAAAAAAAACAATATTATATTATATACATAATACCTTCATAAGGGTCTCTTTATTATATTATTATCACGTAGTAAAAAAATTATGATGTAAACATGCCATTAAATGCGATTCCAAAATCTTCATTTGGTGCGAGTTTGCTAGCAGCGGGATTGTAAAATAGTTTCAGTCTCTCTCCCTGTGAATTCGATTGATGATTTAGATACTAAAGTTGAAACACAAGTATGAAATGGAAGATATATATTTGATACAAATCGAAGTTAATGCATAAAAACGTACGGAACTAGGAGGAAGGCCATTCATTGTTTTCCAGTAGACTGGAGCTCGCCCAATGTCGAATTCCGCCCATGAGGGAAGAACTGCTCTGGAAAATGACCAAGGATTTCTGTTAATAACGAGCTAATATCGACGATGAAAACATGTAAGGAGAGTGGAAACCAGAAACGTACTCTTTAACTTCCTCGGCAGCAGGAGTTGCTACGACAGCCGCAGCCCTTATCTTCCGGCTGGTCTTCACCGGATTCCTCCATCTTTGATGTTCTTGTAAGGGAGAAACCATGAATTGTTTACTACCTGTAATTGGCTTACGAATTATGTCGGATAATATAAACCCGATTTGTTACGAATAGCTCAAGTTTAAGTTTGTTATACAGTTTATGGAGTAGGAATTCAAGGTTTTAGGTTGAAAATTTGCACTGATTATCCTCTTAATTCCAATCCTCAAGTGAATTGCCCCAATTTACTTGATATATAAGAAATCAAATGGAGCAGACAATCAAGCAAACAAGCATAGATATAAGAAACGGCGTACCATGAGTGTTTGCGACGAAAGGAGTTAAATTACTGCTGGATGAAGCACGAGAAGCCGATACGATTTGTGCCCATGACTGGAAGATCGGAGCACTTGTAGTGGCCATTTTCACAAACAGATGGTGTGCACCATTCGCGCTTTTAAAGGATAACAATAATAGGATCAACTAAACAACAAAATCTTGAACAAATATCTTGAAATTTCGGTTTGAAAAATGGCGTACCACAAAATTCCGAAATTTGTGTGGGTGTGATTTTATATCTCAAAGGCTAAAATTTTCAACATACACAAAATTCCACCATTGTCAAAAAGTCTAAGTAGATATTTCTTTCTAGTAATGGGACAAACATGATACATCCGAGTTTTGAATCCATAAACTTATTATTATCTAAATCCACATTTTAATCAGGGTTAACAAAACGTTGTATAATAGTTATTCGGATGGGGTCGTAACTCGTAACGTATAAGGTGTATTTTGAAAAGTTTCATGTTGAGTAATTTGCTAAAATGATCAATTATGGACTCCATATATTACCTAAAACTAGCTTACAAGAACTGAACCAAACCTGGCTAGAACCAAAACCGAACTAACCCAAATCAAGAACCGAGTACTGGACAGGTACATGTAAATCAGTTCCCGCTTTGCGGTTTCATTACCCACAAACCCGATTTCCGTATAATAACATTCATATATCGTGTTCTTGTGTGTATTGTACTTTATGTTTTTGATGTTTTTGTAGTATTTTATGTCACTTGGCTAAATGGCATTTTGTGTAAATGTAAAACGTTAAACCAAAAGAATATGTTATTTGGGCTTAATGTCACTTGGGCTAGTTGTCGTTTGGTCCAAAAGAATAAAGATAAAGTTGATGGCAAATTGACACATGGGCACTGAAACAAGACTTAACGTTTGAAGTTTGAAAAAATAGATAAAAAATGACCCAATAGCATAAAGAAGTTTAAAGTTGATAGCAAATTTTACCATACCATAATGTCTCTAATAATGTGTAAATTGCATTCTGTATCTTATTTGGCATAAAAAAGTATAATGATAATTAAAAAAGACAAAATTTCACAAATGGTCTTTGTTTTTATTATTATTTTTTTAAAAGTCTTTATGAAACATTTTTTTTATGTGAATGGTCCCTTTAGAGCAAATCTTGCATATCAATGGTCCTTTTAGTTTTAATTTTGTTGCATTACCGATCATTTTTATCAACTCTATTAAAATATCTAGTTAAACCTGTGAAATTATTTTGTTGCCCTCATTTTAACTCACATTTAAAGAAATAAAAATACATCTCTCTCTCTCTCTCTCTCTCTCTCTCTCTCTCTCTCTCTCTCTCTCTCTCTCTCTCTCTCTCTCTCTCTCTCTCTCTCTCTCTCTCTCTCTCTCTCTCTCTCTCCCTCCTACAAACCACCATTGGTATGATGTTATTTCTAAATAAAAACACCATATTTCAAGCTAACATCATCTATTGTAATTAAAGTCCAGTTTCAGTTGCAACTACTTAACCACCATAGAGAACAGCAAAAATTCAAGAAAAAGAACCATGAAGCATCATTACTGCATTTGGGAGGGAAATTCCTCTGTTCTTGAGCTTTGTACTACAACTGCTGAACCGAGAACGAGAAAATGGGGAGCCTTGACCAAAACAGACGTCAACCACCATACACCACTGAATTACATTACCATACAACAACCATCACCATCTTCTCTAAAATGCCTTCATCTCGCCATCACTAACCATCAGACTCGTCAAACCATTACATCCACCTCCCTGCACTAGTCACCAGAGTCACCAACCATCAGCCCCACCTCACCGTCTCCTTCTTTCTTTCCCCTTCATTCGTTCCTTCTTCCTTTCGGTCCATCATCGTGAAGCAGTGAAGTCAAACCTACGTCGATCTGGCAGAGTTAGAGGCTTAGGGCTATACACACACAAAGACACGTCGACGTAGGTTTGTAACAAATAAAAGGATGTTTGTCGATATCTAAAAGTTTTTGGAAAAATACAAAGACCAACATGTTTGATGATGACAATCCAATATCTTTTTTTGTCTTGAATCTTCAACAAACTTCGCTATTTCTTTTATAACATCGAAATACGAGTATTTTTATTAGTAACAAAAATACTCAAAAGTTTTAAAAATAAAATAATACTCAAAATTTAAAAATAATACTAAACATTATAAAATAATAAAAAATCAAAAGTTATTACGATGAAAATGCCTCTCTTAGCTCCTAGACAATACTTAACAACTCATAAGGGGAATGGTTAATACCATAAAAGTCATTAGTTTTACAGTCTAATTCTAATTTAATCCTGTTTTTTTTTGTTCTTCAAAAATCAAAAGCCTAATCCTGTTTTTTTTTGTTCTTCAAAAATCAAAAGCCTAATCCTATTTTTTTTTGTTCTTCAAAAATCAAAAGCCATTATTTTTTAGAAACCTTTTCATTTTCTCTTTTAGCCGGTTAACCTATGTGTCACGTTGATGTGTGTGTAGGTTTTTGATGACTGGACATGCCACTTCAGTTTATTAGAAGAAAAATGAAGGAGAGCGTTAAAAGGAGGGGAAACAGAGTTCGAACTCACGACCTAGAAGAATGTTATCAAGTGCCTTACCAATTGGGCTATAAGCTACGTTTTTTATATATGTTAATAACAAAAACGTATTCTTTCGTAGGTGGTCTATATCCAAAACCGTTTTCGTATTTTATATATGTTAAAAACAAAAACGTTTTACGTCGTTTTATGTATTAAAACGTGTTTAATGTATTTATATCTACAAAAAGTCGTAATATATGTATAAATTATCTATTATATTTATTTTGTATGCATAATATATGTATTTTATAAATTACGTATTATATTTATTTTATATGTATAATATACGTATTTTATATATTTTTCTGTATAAAAAGCATTTTTTTAATATAA